TCCCCAGCCGTGTGGTGCCCCGGGCAGCTGCAGTTCGATCACGGCTCCTTTTGGCCGCGGGGCTCTCGCCACCGCCCGGGTTCGGTTCTGCGCTTCTCCTGCCAGGGCGGGTTCGAGCTGCGGGGACCCCGCGAGCGGCGCTGCGGGCCCGGGGGGCGCTGGGAGGGGCCGCACCCCGTCTGCGACGATGGAAGTAAGAAAATTTGTGGGTTATTTTGGGGTTATTTCGGATTTTTGGGTGGTTTTGTGGCTTTTATGGGAATTTTTGGGGGGTTTTTTACGGTTTTTTCCCGTTTTTTGGGTGCATTATTGTGTATTTTTTTGGGTGTTTTTCAGTGTTTTTTGGCATTTTTAAGATGCTTTGGGTGGGTAATTCGATTTTTTTTGGGTATTTCCCTGTTTTGTTTTTTTTCATAATTTCCCTGCTATCTTTCCCCGATTCTTTTTAATTTCCCTGCAATTTTCCCCATTTCCTATGATTTTTTTTCAAATTCTGTTCCATTTTTCCCCGTATTTTCCCCGTTTTTTTTCATTTTTCCCCCATTTTTTCTCCAATTTTCACCGGGTTTGTTTTGAAATTTCCCATTTTTTCCCGATTTCCCGTTTTTTCCCCCCAGCCGGTGACTGCCCCGCCCCCGCCGTTCCCCCCGGTGCCTCCATGGAGGGTCCCCGCTCCCGATTTTCGGTCGAAGGCTCCGTTCGCTTCCGCTGCTCCGAGGGTTTGCAGCTTTTGGGCTCCGCCGAGCGCCGCTGCCTCGAGGGAGGGACCTGGAGCGGCTCCGAGCCGCGCTGCCGAGGTTTTGGGGAGAATTCCGGCGATTTTGGGAAAATTTCAGCGAAATTTGGGCGAAATTCGGGCAAATTTGAGCGAATTTCGGGCAATTTTCGGGCGGTTTTGGGGGGATTTTTTTGGGTTTGTGGGGTCCCGAAGCGGCTCCGAGCCGCGGTGTGGAGATTTTGGGGCCAATTCGGGCGATTTTGGGAAAATTTGAGCGAAATTTGAGCGAAATTTGAGCGAAATTTGGGCGAAATTCGGGCGAATTTCGGGCAAATTTGAGCGAAATTCGGGCGGTTTTGGGGCAGTTTCGGGGTTTTAGGGGGGATTTGGGGGGGATTTTGGGGTTTGTGGGGTCCCGAAGCGGCTCCGAGCCGCGGTGTGGAGGTTTTGGGGCCAATTCGGGCGACTTTTGCAAAATTTGAGCAAAATTTGAACGAAATTTGAGCGAAATTTGAGGGAATTTCTGGCAATTTTCGGGCAATTGTCGGGCAATTTTCGGGAGGTTTTGCGGGAATTTGGGGGGATTTGGGGCGGCTTTGGGAGGATTTTTTGGGATCCGAGCGGCTCCGAGCCGCGCTGCCGAGGTTTTGGGGCGAATTCGGGCGATTTTGGGAAACTTTCAGCCAAATTTGGGCGAAATTTGGGCGAAATTTGAGCGAAATTTGAGCGAAATTTGAGCAAAATTTGAGCCAATTT